TAATAATAGTAATAATAACGGTAATAGTAATAGTAATCATGATCATAATGGCAATAGTAATACTAATAACAACAATAACAGCAACGATTGAGGGTCTTACTTTTTGCCGATGTGATTCCCCAGCATTCCTTCTGTAATTATAGGAAAATGCGATCCCCCCAACCCTGCTTTGACTATTGAGGCCTCAAGTTCAGGTGTAAACGAATTGGGGCTTCAAGCCTTTCTAAATGAAAAAAGCTTCCTGAGATTCTGTAGCGGCTTGGGATTGAGGCTCAGAGAATCGGATTCGAGGTCTTTGTTCTGAACTGCATGGGCTTGTTCACTTATCATGCGGGAATGGGTCTCATACCTTGCGGCTTTTGCTTGCCCGTAGTGAGCCCTTCCAAAGCTCCATCGCTGGTTCCCACGACAACCCCCTTGATAGCATAACCCTATACTTCCTGTAGCATCCTTTACAAGAATAGCCACTGCACTCTGAATCTCAAATTCGGAGGGTAAGACACGGACCCCAAGGCACAAATCTATCGAGCACCCAACTCCCGAACTCAGTGCTTCCCATGCGTAGATGTGTTTATATATGCATGTTGTACACCTACGTGCATTCTTACATGTGACATTGTGTAAGTGCAAGTCCCCTACATGACCCTTCTTTCCGCCAAGGGGCAATGGTTTGTCCTCGAAGTCACCAGGCGCCTGACCCGGCAGTTTGTAAGAACAAAACATGGGGTCACCCACAGGGGTCATCTACCACCACCTTGCAAGCAGAAGCTCCTTCCTCAGCGTTTTGAAGCACGCATCCAACATGGCAATTTCTCAAAGTCACTGGCACAAGCCTTGCAGCATGTCTGCATGCAGGCAGCTTTGTTAAAGGGTGCGGAGACCCTCCGCAAGCATCTGCTCACTGGCACGCAAAGGCCTGAAGTAAATGAGCCTGCTCTTCCTGAAAGAAGAACTAAACAAAACCCTCCGCAGAACTTGGTGGCTGTACAGAAGCAGCTCTGAGGATCTGTGCCCACGACAGCACAAGAGCTTCATAAATGGTCAAATCCAGCATCGGCCTTCAGGCTTCGCAGGGGAGTTTACTCATGGTCGGTCGTTAACCTGTCAAACTAACACTAAGCACTCGCTACGCTGCTTTGGCTCCATGGACAAGCGCACATTGCCGCTGGCACCCCATCCCCAGAACTGCACGCAAGGGATTCGTCCAACAGGTAAGTCAGTGATGATGCATCAGTCTCGGCGGGCGCAAGTCCAGGCCGCTCGTTGGAGCCCGCTTCACTCATGGCTGGATCTGCTGGGTACAGAGAATCATCGCCCCACTTTGGTTCCAGTGGCAGCCGCAGCTTGCACTCCAAAGCCTCATTCGGCCACATCTGCAGAACACGTAGCACAAGCCAGCGCTGCTGCAAGGTGCTGAGCTTTAGCATCTTCATGACTTCCGGTAGAACCGTCAATGCAGACCTGATCACATACTTCCTCCGGCAGCACCAAATTGAGTGCACCACTGCCTTTGCCACGATGGGGTCGATTGAGGCACAACCCTTCGAGTGCTTGAAGAGGACAAGCTGAAGAAGAAGGTCGTGGGCTTCGTCCCGCGGATCTACCTCTGCAAGCAAATCGACCACATCCTCTTGAGGCAGGGGGACAGCACCGCCGTGAACATCTTGCACCTCTGCATCTTCATCCTTGAGCGCCATGATCAGCCGCGGCATAACGTCAGCAGCTGCAGGACATATCTTGACTAAGATCTCTGAAGCAGCGGTTCGCCCGCACGCATGCCCATCCTCGAGCGCCATGATAAGCAACGGCACAGCATCAGCTGCTGCAGGCAAAGCATCAGCTGCTGCAGGACCAATCTCGCCCAAGGCCTTCAAAGCCCTGGCCTGAACCCTGGCATCTTCATCCGACAGCGCTTCAAGCAACTGCGGCACGGCATCAGCTGCTGCAGAGCCAATCTTGCCCAAGGCCTCTGCTGCAAGGGCTCGCACCGTGGCATCTTCATCCTTGAGCGCCTTGAGCAGCTGCGGCACAGCATCAGCTTCTGCGAGACCAATCTCGCCCAAGGCCCTCAGAGCAGCGGCTCGCACCCCGGCATCTTCATCCGACAACGTTTCAAGTAACTGAGGCACGCTATCAGCTGCTGCAGGACCTATGTTGCCCAAGGCCTCTGAAGCAAAGGCACGCATCCTCACATCTTCATCATTGAGGGCTCGTTTGAACACCTGCTTGAAAGAATCAGCTGCTGAAGGACCACCAATCAGGTGCAAGAGCTCTGAAGCAATGGCTTGCACCTCGGCATCTTCATCCTTGAGCGCTTGGAGCAGCTGCGGTACGCCACCATGTCTTTCAAAGGAAATCTCATGCAAGCTCTCTGTAGCAGCACGTCGCACCCAGACATCTTCATCGTTGAGTAGTGCTTGGATCAGCTGCGGCACGGCATCAGCTGCTGCAAAGCCAATCTTGCCCAAGGCCTCTGCTGCAAGGGCTCGCACCGTGGCATCTTCATCCTTGAGAGCCCTAAGCAACTGCGGCACATCATCAGCTGTTGCATGACCAATTTCGCCCACGGCCCTCACAGCAGCAGCTCGCACCCTGGCATCTTCATCTGACAGCCTTTCAAGCAATTGGTGCACACCATCAGCTGCTGCAGGACCTATGTTGCCCAAGGCCTCTGAAGCAAAGGCACGCACCCTCGCGTCTTCATCATTGAGGGCTTCTTTGAACAGCTGCTTTAAAGAATCAGCTGCTGAAGGACCACCAATCTTGTGCAAGAGCTTTGAAGCAAGGGCGCGCACCCTGGCATCTTCATCCTTGAGTGCTTGGAGCAGCTGCGGCACGGCGTCTGCTGTAAACGGAATTTTGGCCATCGCCACGGAAGCAAAATGTCGCACCCAGGCATCCTGGTCCTTGTGCGATTGGAGCAGATGCGGAAGAGCATCAGCTGCCGCAGGACCAAGTTTGGCGATGGCCCCCATAGCAGCAGCTCGAACCCTGGCATTCTTATCCTTCAAGGCTTCAAGCAGCTGCGGCAGGGCATCAGCTGCTGCAGGAAGAATTTTGTGCAAGGCCCGCCAAGCAGCGGTTCGCACCCGGGCATTATCATGCCTGAACGCTTCCAGCAGCTGTGGCACGGCATCAGCCTCTGCATCCGGCCATGCTTCATGCAGCTGCAGCACACCATCACCTGCTGCGGGGCCCATGTTGGCCAAGGCCTCTGAAGCGAAGGCACGCACCCCGGGATCTTGATCCTTTAACGCGTTTGTTCACAGAAACCTGGACTTGACCGCCCGTCCACCTAGTGACAGGCCCATGGATGGATGCTGCAACCATGACCATCTGTGCCATGGGAGAGTTTTGTCTTGCTTCTTGGTACTGTCGATATCTGTCGATTTTGCACAAACACTCAGACTCAAAATCCAAAGTATGGCGCTGAAAATTTGGGGATGATGATCGGGCGAGGGACGTCAAGCAAATAAAAAAGGATCATTGGGCGCGTTGTTTTCGCATGTCTTCGTCAAAATCGATCGCAATTAAGACCCCCTGCAACTCCCCCCCTCCCACCCCCCGGCTCAGCTGCTTTCACGCTGTTTCCATGTTGCAACACAACAACATATTGCCACAGGGACTTCAGCTGGCGGACTGCAACCAAAGCTAGCAGCTTGCGCAGGCGACGGCATTTAAACAGGCTGTGTGAATACAAAAGCCCCGCCGAAATGCTGGGGCTGTTGAAGTCTAATATGCTGATCTCCTTTTGGGACCATCAACGGGTTGTCTTGCAATTCTTGCCAGGCTTGAAACATCTCCGTGTCCACAGGGCAACAAACAGGCCTTGCCATCATGCGCGGCTCGCTGGACCTTCTTAAGTCTACTTCATCCTCTCAGCCGCTTGAAAGTAATTATCAAACAGAATTTCTGCATTTTGGAGAAATGAGAAGCATCAAGAATTCCGAAGAGAACGCTGGCATCCCTCATCCTGGATCTTCTCAAGACTGTACACTTGGAGAACCTGTTACGAAAGCCCAGAAGTTTAATCCCAACCCTCACCATCCTTTTAATAGGACCACCCCATCCTTGTCCATCTCGCGTGAAGCAAAAGCCACACAGTTGTGGTACGGTGGAGCCGGAATCTCAGCGGAGCTTCATGGACTATTTCGAGGCGTGTTCGGATTTGGAGTTTGGAAACTCAGGACATATTACGGATCTCGGGCAGAGGGATTGAAGGACTTCGGTTCGGCGATCTCGGTCCTGAACACAGCCCCGATTCCTAATCAGACAACTAAGGATACACTCAGTACATAATCCTGGGGGTTGGAGATGATGTAGGGATCTGTATGACTGTAGCAACGCAGTCCGCAAAACTTACAGTTCAAAGCGCGAAATTGGTGGATCCATACTTTTGGAAGCTCCCATTTCGGAGCGTCTGCTGGCTGGGCAGCCGCCGCTAGTCCTGTAATTTGCCCACTTCTCCCAGCATTACTCACTGCAACTGCCTCAATGCGGTACGAGCCACGCAAAGCACCTTCTTCCGGTAATGTTGCCGAAAGCCCGATCCTTCGACAAGCAGGCTTAGCGCAACCATCAGGCTACGGTGAATGCACGGATTCCAAGGCGCATGACAAGGACGGAATGGAAGATGATGTGGGCTGCTTGCAATTCTCCTGCTGGGGCCCCTCATGGCAACCGCTAGGATTGGGAGTGTTAGACTCCTAGACCCTGAAAAAGTGATCTGAACAATGGACTGAGAAGTCCGGAGCCCTCAATAGCGCCTAAAACTGAAACTGAATCCAGAACACTAAGCCCCATACCCTAAGCCCTATACATCCCATCAACCTTGCCCCCTGTAGCCTGCAGCTTAGAAGTCCTCCAGGCTCATCGCGGGGCACTGCGACCAGTGCGGCCAAGTTGGCAGCCTCAGGTCTGTGAATTTGGCACACTTCAGGTTTAGGGTTCAGAGTTCAGCCAGGTGGGTCCTGGGCTTAGGAGGATGTGGCATGGTGGTTTTGGTCTTTGAAATTGCCCGGGGTCCTGCGATGAAGCGTCGTTTGGCTCTTTCCATTGGGGCTTGAGTGACTGGAGTTCATGATGAATCTGGGACTGCAAATTTGACAGGCACATAGCTGAGTCAGTTTGGCAGCAAGTTCCAAATCCAACGTTAGAAGGGAAGGAATCTCTCAGTCGTCCCTGTAGAGATGCAAAGAATGTCTGAGTCATCCCTGAAGATCTTCTAGGATTTCATGTCTGCATGCTTGCTTAGACTTGAAGACTGTAGTACACCCAGTCTCGCTTGACCAGAAGCTAGGAGATCAAATAATCCAAGTAAGGTGCTCATGGAAATGCAGCAACCCTACTCATAGCTCCACCAATCATCGTTCAACTATGCCACTCACAGCGGTCCACTGCTACCCAGAGAGCCAACTGCCCCTTAATTAGAAACATTCCCTTAGTGGTACTAGGATCCCTTATATGATTTAAGCTATATTCCTTAATTAACGGGGGTATTGGCTCCCTGGGTACTCATTTAAGCCAGCATGATCTCTAGACAGCCTGGAAACTTGTGGTCTGGCACATCTCACTTGAATCCGGCCAAAACAACAAGAATCCCCAGCATGCGCCTTCCTTTCGTGAAGATCTACAAGAAGAACACGCAATTTCCCTAAATTGTTAGCCCTGAACCATAAACAAACAACATGATGCATCCTGATCCCCAATATGATCCCATGCCACCCTGGCAGTCGTAGTCGACTCGCTGAAGAAACCATGTGGCGCTCATGAACTACTTCCTGCAGAGTCGCAAACAACACCCTTCAACTACTGAAGATCACGGTTCTAATTTATGTTGGGCAGTATGTTTTCAAAAACACTGTAACAACCCTATCCAACAATGACCCGGAGTTTATCTAGAACCTCCGCTATAAGCCCTGTTTCAGCTTCATTCTTCTTTCATTGACATTTGTTGTTGATTAATCTCCATTTCCAATAATGATGCCTAAGCCCTAAAATCCCAACCCTCAAATCCTGAACTCAAACCCCTGAGCAGCGTTTTTAGTCATGCGGCCTGCAGCACCCGCGGTCGAAGCTTTGGCATGCCCTGGTGCGATCTCTTCAGATGCTTGAGGAGCGGGTGGCAGAATTAGGGCCCCCCTTGGATGGGAAACAGGGATTGCATAGGGACTTTTGGGTGTATTGGGGCATATAAGGTTTGGGGTTGGGCTTAGGCTTCGAGAAGGTTTAGGTTGACGGCGTCATTCCCGGCTCCCACGGATTACCTGAAAGCAAGCTGGTCAACGTAGCAACGCAAAGCCCGCTATACACAATCAGCTAGGTTGCTTAGCAGTAGGTCTTGTGCGGGGCTCTGCTGAATCCAGGAGATTTGTCGTCCGTCCAACATAATTTGGGGAATTGGCCAGGGCCTAATCTAAAACGCCTACAAGCTTATCAGCCCGCCCGTGTGGGCCAGATGTCGCGTTGTGGGATGGCTGGTGTAGAAAATGAGAGACATGAAACACCCAATCCCTGATGGTGGCTAAAAATTCTTCATCATCCTTAGAATACTCTGCGAATACCACATCACAATGAGCCGGTTCTAGCCTTCAAAGCCACAATCCGCACGCCATGAAGGTGAGACCTTCTGTCAGAACGTACAATCCAAACACTCCACAGACCTCGACCTTGCAACTTTTGCCACCTTCACCCCCAAACAAATCCTACACCTGCCCCAAATGCCCACACAAACACACGCTACACCAGCCCAAATTACCCAGAAGCCCCGACACAACTGCGCTGGCGGGACCGAAGTTGTGGCTTGCTGCTCGTCGATATCTGGGAGCCCAGCCATGCTAAGCTCTCCGCCCCTGGGCAAATTAAGCTACCATGGTGGAGAATCAAAGGGAAAACGAAACGGAAACTGTGATTATTTGGGGGCTATACGCAGTGCTGAGGTGGCAACCTACTGTAAAGTTCCTGAACAGCAACCTAGCTGCAGTCAGTGATGAAACATGGCTTGTTCATTTGTATTCAAAGAGTTTGCACGGAGCCTGAAAGGGGGCTGTTGAAAAGCACAATAGACTCTGAAGGCATTGAAGGAAGACTTTGAGAGCTTCTTGAGTTTTTACGACTGGCTCGTCGGAGGAACTTATGCAGAACAATAGATCTGGGTTAGCAGTTGCACGTCCCAGCTGAATGAATTGCAATCCAACGTGAAGTACACCGTTGAACCATGTCGCATTGCTGTAGGCTTACAATGGAGAAGGGAGCTTCAGTGAGCAGGTCGAGTCTAGAGGTGTAAGGCCCGGTGAAGCAAGCCCTGAGCTCTGTATGCGGCTTAGGGTTTAGGGAAAAAAGCCCTGAAGTCTGCATCCTAACGTTTGCAACTCTCACGGACTCCCACATCTCGAAACTCCGAGCTGAACCTGATAAACCGCCATCGCAGAACTCGCGACATTTGCCAACCTCCCTTGTCCCTTAACCTCTTCAGCAAAGCCGTTGATGCAAACCCTCAACCCTAACAATGGGTGGTTATTCAAGGAGCTTAAATTAACTTACCCGAATATGCATATAGAGTAAACGATTGGCTTTCGCCTTACGGTAACTTAATCGAAGTCCCTTGGCAGAAAGCCAAAGACCTCTTTTCGCCCAAGTCGAAACTTTGAACTCGAATCAGGGGCATAAGGTTCTGCACAAGTTCCCTAAACCATAGAAACCCTTAACCCGCAACCCGAAGACCCCAAGCTGTGAGCAGAAACCTCGGACCCAGCAGTGACCGAACTCCCTGAGGTTTGCGCAGCCCGGTGCTTTCCCCTGTGAGGATGGAGAACTCTTGCGCACTCATGTCCTTCTGCGTGGGCAAAAGCAAATTGGCACCATACTGTAAGCTACTGTAAGTGATGTTTGGGTTTGGGGCTCGGGTTGGCCAGGATTTAGGATACTGGGTTTCAGGTTTTCTGTAAGGGTAATTAATGCCTGGGCTCAGGGCTCAAACATATAATCTGGGGATCTGGGCTTCTCAAATTTGTTGCTGCGCCATGTGTGAAGCCTTTTCAGCCTTGTATTAGCCTACGAGACCCCGAATTTACATTACCTGCAAGAAGCCGCGATAAAGCAGGTCGAAAAGAAGTCACTATGACCATCCTTGTATTGGATAACTGAATATCATCCGAAGAGTTTAGCCAGGGCTCCTATTACACAAAATTAAACCCCACACCGACCCAACAGAGCGCCATGCCATTTACTCCCCAAATACTTTAGACCCTTTACCAAACCCTGAACCCTAACCCTACACTCAGAAGACCAAGAACACCGCGCAAAAGCTCCTGCAGACCTGTAGAGGGCAACTCCTGCGAGAAGTCGTCGCAGGATAGCTCCTTCGCACGGCATAACTGGGTGGCTGTTGGGGATTTTATGTTCAATTCTCAGAATATGAGGAAACGCTATCATGTACATAATCTACTACATGCCTCTAGGACAGTAGCTGCGTTTAAGTTCGTTCATTTAGCGGAAGCCACAAGTGCCTTAAGTCAGACGTCCAGCAGACACCTGGGCACGACTGGCGGGGCTGTTGCAATCCTGCGACATCTCAGGTCCCACCGACGTCTCCGCCAAAGACCAATCTGGAAAGCCGCCAGCCTCCGCAGTTTCCAATATTGGGGGGTTTAGGGTTGACGTAGAACAGCTACGGTGGTTGCCATACTCCCGCAAGCTGCCCAAAAATGGGAGTGCCACCTACGAGACAAAAACAACGGCTTGGTAATGATGATCACTTTTCATCAAGGGCAGGATACGGGAGTTCCAAACAGCATGTTTCCGATGCCCAGAAGCACCTAGCATCATTGGCGTTGTTTGAAACTCTGGCTAGTCAGGCTTGAGACTAAGGATTGCGCGTGAACCGCGCGACTAGCCTTCATTCCCAAACAGCCCTCCTGCTTCATGCGATTTGGACTTGGGAGATTCTCTGCCCAAAAGAGACCATGCGCGGCCGCGTAGGATTCTAGGGCAAAGCGATTTAGGGAGGCGAAGAGCCCGTTTGCATCGAATCGAGCAGTCTTCCCAGGTTTCAATAACTGAGAGGCTTGGGGCTTGAGAAATGACGTGGTTGTCACGCAAGCAGCTTCCACAGAGATCTGTGGGCACATCTGCTAGGCCCCTTGCGAGAGAATAGAAATCGCGAAGATAACGATGCATCTTGCTAAGTTTGCACGATGACAACTACTGCCACTGCCACCAACGCCAAACCTAGATCCTGGAACCCTAAAACCTACATCCTACACATCCTAAGCCCTAAACCCTATACCCTCTATAGTATCCCCTATAATATCCCTTTTTACCACTGCCACCTCCACCCCCCCCCCTCCAGAAAATGTCCGCAAGGCGCCTTTTTCACTGGCCGCGTTGAGGCAGACGTCGCGCGCCTGTGAGTCTGCTTGGAACCACGGGAGTCGAGGTTGAATGGACTGAGGAGCTAACGTGGAGCATGACGTCCCGCTTCCATCCGCTTAGGCTTAAGTAATCCTTGAAGGAAACCCTAACCATTATAGATCCCTGTGTATCCTGATACATACCAGAATATGCCTTGTCAAGGGATGCTTAAGTCAGTGCTTTTGCTCTCAAAGATATTGATTGCGAAGACAACCTCAAAAGAACCCATGATGGTGCATCGGTCCCTCATAAGGCAGTAAGCTGAGTATAGTCAGGGCGCGTTCGAGGGCTGGGCGTGGGCTCGGCGGTATACGCTGGATCCTCAAAATTGAGTCCTTACAAAACGATTGCCTGAACCTTACATGCCTAGTTCATCATACTTCACTACGTCGTCTCTAGCCGGATCTTACCTTTACTGGTGTTTAAGGGGAAGCGGGGGTGCATTTAGGGACCGCTATGTCGGACTAAGTAGGGATCCACTCCGCCAGTCCCCTCTATGCAAAAATCCCTAAATACTTACTATGGCTTCGTAGGGAATAAGGGCGTATTGTATATGTAGGGGTTATATGGGGATAATATTCCTTCATTCCATGAACCAGCAAGTACCTGGGATGCCTCGAACCCGACGTAAACCCTAACCCCCTAGCCCTAACCCCAAACCCTTTCCCTACATCGTCTCCCTTAAGGGCTTGGGGTTTCAGGTTTAGGGTTGGATCTTTGGATCTTACCGGGGGTGCGGCTGTAGGCCGACGTGCTGAGCAGTTCGAGCCAAGGCGTTGTAGTCCTTGGCCTGTGCAGAACATGTATGCGGGGCCACCTTCTTAAAAGGGAGTTATAGGTGTGTACAGCCCAGACAGGGGCGTGTAGGAGTATAGTTTCCCTTAAGTAGATAGAATATACGTTTGGGCATATTATACTGAGATCCCCATATATCCCACATTCTTTCTGCTTAAGGGGTCCTAAACCCTAAACCCTATATAACCCAGTATAGTAATTTCCATTTTCTTTTCCATTATCCCCATATAACCCCAATAATATAACCCGTATTCTATCTACTTAAGGGAGACTATATTTTTGGGGGTCCCCATAATGAGGACCATAGCATTTACGTAGGGGTTAATAAGGAGGTCTCCTTTGCCTGGAAGCTCCCAGGCCGCGGGAGAGGCAGCTAAGGTTTAGGGGTTTAGGGGTGTGGTTTTTAGCGGTTTGGGGTGTAGGGTTTAGGGTTTAGGATTTAAGGGTTTAGGGCTTGGCGTCAGTCTTGCGTTCAGCACATCGAGCGTGTGGGTTTATCAGGCTGGGGGTTCCTACGTAGGGGCAAAGGGAAGGATCAAGGGGCTCAATCCCTGCCCTCACCTTTAGCTGCCAAAGTGGAAGGGAAAGTTCTGTCCGGAAACCTAAGTTCACGTGCAAGAGATACCGTTTCTGCCAATCTCTTCAAACTTCGGCAAGAGCTCAAGCCCTAAACCCCAAACTGCTACTTTAAATCCTAAAATCTGAACCCTAAAAGCCGTAAGCCTAAAGCCTCAGACTTGTCAGCTTTCAGCCCTGACCTGAAATGCACACCTACCTCAAGTTCGGCTTGAAACGTTTAGGGCTCAGGGGACACTAAGCTCCTCAAATATCGTGAAGCCCTAGAACACCTTGCAACACCTTATTCCCACACACTCCCGCTTCAAAAGGGTGAGCTTGAGCATTGCGATCATATTGCAACTTCTGAAACCCGTTAACTTACTGCGGGTTAGTAGGGAATAGGGGAAGATATTCTATAGGGATTATGTAGGGATCATACTGCCGTTATTCCTTACTAACCGTAAACCCTAAACCGCAAGTAGTAGTTTCCATTTTTGTTTCAATTATCCCCATCAAACCCTATATTACACCCTCCCTTGTTCAGTACTATCCACCAGTAAGTTTAACCCTAAACCCTATCCTAAACCCTATAGCAGCTTCTATTTTCTAACCCCTAAACCCTATAGTAGCTTCCATTTTTTAACCCCTAGACTCTATAGTAGTTTCCATTTTCTAAACCCTATACCCTACAGTAGTTTCCATTTTCCAATCCCTAAACCGTATGGTAGTTCCATTTTCTAAATCCTAAACCCTATGGTAGTTTCCATTTTCTGTTCGATTCCTATCAACCTTCCCAAACACGCCTCCGCCACGCAGACCAGGCTTGTAGCATCCGACTCCCCGGCCTGGCGACGAGCAGCAGAAGATACTATATATGGTTTTACAGTTAATTATACAGAGCGATATATTGGGTCTCTACGGATAATGGAACAGATAATGGAACTATTGTTTAGGATTTTCGTACGAACCGTACTACGGACGAGTGTTTAGAGGGTTTAGGGTTTGGACCCAGAGAGCCCAATATCCCTCAATTAAGGAATATACCCCAAATAGTACTAGGATCCTTTGTTTGAATGAAGCTATACTCCTTACTTGAGGGTATTGGGCTCCTTAAGGATTTGCGTACGAGCCGTAGAGAAAAGACGAGTGTGTCGGGTTTAGGGTTAACGGTGACAAAGTGATCGGAGGGATTGAAACAGCTTCTTGCAGGGGCAGTTGGAAATTGTTTACAGGGCGTGGGAAGGAATTCTGGGCAGGTGGAAGCAAGGTCTTGCTGCTTGGTGAGTTCCTAGGGCCTGTAGAGAGTCAATGTGGGTAGAGACAACTGTGGATCGCATATCTTCATCCCAAACTAACAGAAGTCCTGAAGGGCCAGGAGGTGCGGCTTCAAGCTTAGACAATAACATGTATGTAATTAATTGTCTACTGAACAAAACTGGTTCCCATGGAAGCTGTCTGTTGCTACCCCAAGCATATACATATGGACACACATGTGCCGCGCATCTACTCCCCATGTGTGCGTATCTGCATACTGGTCCATAGGCACCCGGAGCACGAAGCCCAACTCTCTATTCTCAAGCCCTTACCCCTCAACTCTAAGCCCTGAAACCTGAACCCGCAACCCGAAGCCCTAGACCCCACACCCCATGCAAACCGTCAACCCTACGCCCTGAACCTAAAACCACTATCCCTCAACCCCAAACCCTACACCCAAAACTCGGCACACTCAACATTTAGTTTTCAAATAGGCCTATGACCTTTTGTTTGCCTAGACCCGAGGCCCCTAGGCCTTAAAATCCCAAATTCTGCACACGCAACCCTAAGCCCCATATAGCCCTTAAGGAGATCTTTTGTACCTCCTCTATAACTCTAATGACCTCTATCCACTGCAAACCCTACGTAAGACCTCAACCCCAAGACCTAAACCCCAAGCCCTACACCCCTTTCAAACCCTGTGTAAACCCTGTAGAGCTGCTTTCCCCCCTAATTCCTAAACCCTGTTCCCAAAACCCTGGGCCCCAAACCCTAAACCGCAAGCTGCAAACACCAAGCCCTAAACCTAGACGCGGCCACAGCGCACCTACCATTTGTAAGGTTTTTAAAGAAAATTCGTCATTAATCCGCCCAGGTCACATCCTCGGCATGCTCTTATGCCGGTGGGGGGGGGGTAACTTCAAACATGCCAGTACTACTCATTGGATGTCGCTCACATTGAACTTTCAGGTTTCTTTCAGCGTCAGTTTCCATATCTGTGAACAGGGTTGGTCAACGAGGCAATTTCCAATCTTGTCAACAGTCACGGGGATCGAAGTCCTGGTCGCGAAACGCAAAACTGTCGTCACTTTTGGACTTGCTCCTGGTGCTCGCGTCTTAAAAGTGTCAGCAGCCACAGGGAACAGTGGACAATCTGTGGAAGCAGATGCAGGAGATCATACTCTGCAATCTCCGTGTTTCCGCGGGTGGCACGCAGAAAGCTGTAAATCCTGCCCTTGTCAACTACTTGTTTCAGTTTGTGTGCCGCTGGCACCACGAGGGACATTTCCAGTCTCTCAGGCTCAAAATGGGCAAGTTCTTGCAGTCAAAGTGAGCTCGACAACCAAACAAAGGCTGCAAACTAAGTTGGCGCCCTCACCAATGCTGGCATGCCAGTGAAAGTGGTAGGTGCGCAGTGGGCCCGCCAGGCCC